TATTTTTATTTCAGTTAATGACAATGTTTGGTCAATAATAATACTAGGTTTGATTGCTATATTTATTGTAAAGTCTTTTTTAAGAAGACTATTTTGTGTCAAGTTAGTAGCTTTTAGTTAATTAGCTAATAATTCTTCTTGAAAGGGATAAAATGTAAATAGTGAAAACATTGGTTTTTGTGTTGGCCACAACAAGCTGTTAATTATCAGGGGCCAGTTGCATAAACATAGTCACTATGTTAAGACGGTGTCTTGTGAACTAATTCAACCAACTAGTAGTTTGCAAAGAGATAAATGGTCTTACTTTTTGGATTCAAATTAGACCATTCTCCCTTTTTATAACTGACTTAAAAAAGTTATGACCAGCCTTAAAGAAAAAAAATGAGATGACTAACTTTTTAAGACTAGTATTGGCCCAGAATATCCATAACAGTGCAGTTCTGGTGACTGAAAACCAAAACCAGCAATGATGTTGCAATGACAAACCTATGCGGCAGTCCTTCGGTGAGCTTCTGAGACAAATTCTACTCAGGAGTTCTGGCTAGATGGAAAAACACAAGTATAATCACAACAGAGCTGTATATACTCTACAGTAAATGACACAGTATACAGAAAAATAAATGGAGTTTACTTTGTGAGAGTGCCCCCTGCTGTTGATTTCTATGCTGTCAGCTCTGAGAAAGAACAACCAAACAAACGTTACAATCACAATCAAGTCATTCAGTGATTAAAGCACAGACTATTCCGAGAAAACAGACATGACAGATAATATGTCATATATAAGGTATCAATTTAAAAAAATCACGTCAGTTTTGTGCTGTACAGTTAATTTTGAAACAGTTTAGTATTTCTGAATCAAATATAAAAAGAAAGAATTATGAAACCATGTTAAATGTGAAACAAAAGGACTTTTAACAAGTTGTTCTAAATGTTTACTTACACACTACAACTTAGTTTAAACCTTCTTTAGAGATGAAAGCTGATCATTTACTCACAGGCTAGCAGAGGACAAGGATCGTGACATCGAGAGTGGGGAAGAATAGGGGATTTTTGTCACTGGGGAAGCTGAAACAAACAGAGAAACAGCACTTTGGAATGGTATAATAACTCACAAAATGGTTACTAGGGCTAAAATATTTTTAACTGCTTACAAAACTGTAACAGTCTGAACAATCTGTTCATCTAAAAACAAGCAAGCTAAAACGCACCTTGTCTCTGACTTGCTGACTGTACATTTCGGTTGGACTGTAACACCAGTCTTGAACTGGAATGATTTCAATGGCACGTGTTACATTAATAAAGTACATGTTTACAGAGTTCCTACATCCATACGGTATCACACGTTGTCTTAGAAGAATACATGCCCCATTTACAATGGATATGAAAAGCATCCACTGCCTCTGGCTTTTTATTTCTAAAATGTCATTTATTCCTCTGTAAAGCTGCATTTTCAGCAGCCATTTCTCCAATCTTCAGTATCACATGATCCTTCAAATCATATACTATTTTGCTGCTCAAGAAACATTTCTTATCACAGTTGAAAACTGTTGTGGTGCTTAATATTTTTCAGGATTCTATGATGAATAGAAAGTTCATAACAACAGCATTTACCTCAAGTAGAAATCTTTTGTTAAGATGTTATAAATGTCTTTACTATCGTTATTGATCAATTTAATGCATCCTTTCTGAATAAAAGTATTAAAGAAATAGTTCAACCAAAAATGAAAATTTGCTGTAAATGTACTTAGCCTCAATCCATCATCCAACATGTAGATGAGTGTTTGTTTCTTCATCAGAACATATTTGGAGTAATTTAGCATTACATCTGCCGTGAGCAAGTGTTGTACAGTAATGCTAACTTTCTCCAAATCTGTTCTGATGAGGAACAAACTCATCTACATCTTGAATAGCTTGATTGTGTCATTTTCAGTAGATTTTTTTTTTTTTTTTCAAAAAAAGTGAATTGCTTTAATGTCTTAAAAAACTCAAAAAATAAATAAAATTGCACTGGACACATTTAATTTCCACATATACTAAAGACTGGAACTGGACTACCATTAAGGTTTTGTATTTAATGAGAGTAATATTTGTTACCAATTTACAGAAATGTGTTTTTATTTTGATATGAAGGAATACTTTCCTTTGATATGAAGGGATTAGACATGTGCCGGTATTCGGTAATGCGATATATAACGGTAATGAATATGCACGATATTGTTATTGTGGGCACTTCTAAATAATTATGTATTACAAATTATTGAGAATTATGAATACATTTTAAGAATACTTTACTAAATACTTAAATATTTAGACTTAATAGGCTATTTATTTTCAAACTTTTTTTTACATTTTAATCTGGACTTGAACATGCCCTAGATATTGTTTTGAAAGTGTTTTGATTCTTTATTGTTCGGTCACACTTTACATTAGGGCTTCATTAGTTAACATTAGTTAATTCATTAGTTAACATAAACTGCCAATGAAAAAGTTATACTGTATTATGACAGCACTTTTTTTTTTAAACTAAACTACAATACCGTAATAATACCGTATACCGTGATAAAAGCATTAGCAATTAATCGCAACATGAAAATTTGATACCGGCATATCCCTAGAAGGGATATTATCTCCTTTCATAGATCACATTGACATACCTTTGATTTTGAACAGTCATTTCTAACTTGGATATGTAAGCATTCTGTTCTGAAATTTTCCTGCACAAAATAGAAAACAATAGAAATAAGGCAAAAATACAATAGAAATGGCTGCATTAATGCAGTACTCATACATACTTGGACATCTTCTGCATCTCTTGTTGCATTTTCAGGCCATCCTCCTTCATTCTCTCAATCTGTTTTATTTGACATTAATTTGATTTGGATTAACTAAGCCACATTAGCAGCATCCACATCTACCATATCCAAGTATCAGAGCCAGTCATGTTAAGGACAAGATGCTCTCACCTTCTGCTGATAGTGGGCCAGTAATCTTTTCTGGTGTCTGGCCTGGAATTGTAAAACCTGCAAAGCATAATAAATGTGACTTTATGCCTTAAATTCACGATTAACATAGCTGCAATCTACTCATTTTATGTATAGGACTACCTTGCTTATCTCTGAGAAGTATTTGACTGCAACTGCACTGATATCTGAGAAAAGCTCTTGCACCTCTGAGCTACTCTATGAGAACAATACACAGATTAGTGGCACAGCTCATTAAAATGAATCTTTATCACAAAAAAAATCTCTTGTAGCTTACTTTATCAGACAGTGGGGAGATCTGACACGTTGCTTTGCAAATGAGGCAGACACCCTGCTTTCCTAAAGGGGAAAACAAATAGACCCTCTCTGTAGAACGATATTACTTCCAGCAGAGGGCAGTATATGCACACATTTAAGCCAGCACCATTTATACCATTGTGAAATCTGAAAATATATAATTTAAATTATATCGTCATATATCACATTAATAATAGTTATAATTATGTATAATATAAGATTATATATAAATACAATGTAAATAATCATGTTATATATAATGTATAATGTTAGTTGAGTGTGCTACCTCTCAGAAAGCAAACATTACAGATGATGTGACCGCAGTTTGTGACCGCCAGCTGACGCTCAGGACCAGGTGACACGAAGCAGGAGTTACAGCAAATCCAGTGAGACATTATTCTGTTTATGTACAACAACATCATCTAAGCTGTGTGCTACAACTTCTACAAGTGAACTGTCTACCTAGCGTTACACAGCCTTTCATTTCACAGGCGCTATACATGTCTAAGATTACTGTAGAGCTGCCTTTAATGCCAACACTGCTGCTATCACCATGTACTGTATGTTGTATGCACCTGTTATTGCCAGAACACTCTCTAGGTAACGTTAGACTGCTTACACGGTTTTGAGACACAGCCTATGTGTTGCTAGGGTCACACATATTATTTCATAGCAAACCGATCTAACTTACGCTAGTATCATCTCGAGTGCTAGTTTATTCAGTTTAAAGCACTGTGTTTAAAATACACTTGTTTCTCACTTCTGAGGGAAGAATGATTGATACAAAATATGAAAATAAAAAAGACAAATTGATTAAATGTACATCAAACGGGGGTAAAAATAAAGGTGGGTGTATAGCGTTTGAGCCAACTACCGTTAACCTTATACAAAAATAATGTATAAAATGTCCCTGAGGACTTCACGAAAGTTTCCCATAGGTGCTGTGGTCACTAAATCTCTAGAATAAAACACATACCTGTAACTTTTTTGCACGCTATCCAAATTTATATTAGTCGCGTGTACACTAAATTGTATGTTTACTAGTTATCATATAAACAGATTAGCAGGTTTTCTGACGCGTTTTGAAACGACGACGTCACGGTGACGTAATCGCGCACTCCGCAATAAATAAATAAATAAATAAATAAAACAACCAATGCTGACCGTAGTTTCATAATCATGCTGAATTGAACATTTACTGTTAAAACAATCAAACATAATTTATATTTCTGTTACCGTATCTTCTTTTTTGATGGAGGTGTTGATAGTTTTATTGTATTATTAATAATTATACAGTAGTAATTAAAGGGCTTGATATTTTGGTGGAAACTAAAAAAATAACAAATAAATAATATCTCGGCCAAATATTTTCCTAACAAACCATACAGCAATGAAATGCTTATTTGTTCAGCTTTCAGATTATGTATAATTTCAAAAAATGTACCCTTATGACTGTTTTTGTGGTCCAGTGTCACAAATATTCGAGGTTAAACACACTGTTAGAGTGGAATAAAACAAACACACACAAACACATAAATAATAATAATAATACAATATGTAGGTAGGCCTATTTAATAAGGCTATGTTATGAATTTATTAAAATCAGTTGAATTGATTAAAATCACATGCTCATTGCAGGGTATTGTGCTCAGATGAGGTCATTTAGACTTACTCATTTATCAAAATGCTTCAAACAATGTTACAGTCAGTCATTTCATAAAGCTAAACCAACTTCTTTTCAATGAGAAAGTTTTTGAGGTTTTTTATTTGCCAGATTCCAACAGAAAGGAGTATTGATGTCTGAATAATGGCCCACCACAAAACGTTTCCATTTGTCTCCTCACTCATTTGGCGAAACTTCTCCTCACGTTCCTGGTTGCAGTAAAATAAACAGATACAAATTGCACATAATCACCAGAGAGTAAGTGCAGCTTGGAAAATGTGGACAGATGACACTTGGTCTGGTTCTTATTCTGGCAAGCAATTAATATGGCAACATTTTGTTGTCAGGCCGCCCTGCCTGTGTTTGCTTACCCTTTGGAAATTTTGCTGCCTGCTAATGTAACGCATCTGGTCAATGAGATGTTGCAAGTTGTACTCCATTGCTTTCATGGTGTCTTTTGCCTTTGCAGCATTAGGATCAATGGTATGTTCGCCCATCTGGACATCTAAATGCACTTTCTGTACATAAATAGAAAAGTAAGAGCACGACTAGCTGACATTTTAAGCATGTTAAAGGGATAGTTCACCCAAAAATGAAAATTCTGTCATCATTTACTCACCCTCATGTCGTTCCAAACCTGTATGAGTTGCTTTCTTATGTCGAACATAAAAGAAGATATTTTGAAGATTGCTGGTAATCAAACAGTTGATTGTTGCCTTTGACTTCCATAGTAGGAAAAAAAAATACTATGGAAGTCAATGGCAACCACCAACTGTTTGATTACCAGCAATCTTCAAAATATCTTCTTTTATGTTCGACATAAGAAAGCAACTCATACAGGTTTGGAACGACATGAGGGTGAGTAAATGATGACAGAATTTTCATTTTCATTTGAACTATCCCTTTAAATTCAGTATATGAGACCACAGCATTTCACAACTTACCAGACGATCTCCAGCGAACACAGAGAACCTGGTGGAGTTGGACTGCATGCACAAGAAATGTTGACCCGAAGCATGGGATGTAAAGGCGAATTTTCCATATCTCCCAAAGCGTTTTAACAAGACCACCTGCATATGACAGAACGTATCGGAGGAGTTGTTGCAGGTGGTAATAGTTAAGAGTTTATTGTATAATTCTCATCTATGCATGAAGAGTTGAATGCTTCAGACCGCATGGTTAGGGTCTCTCACAGTCACAGTCAAACCAAGGTGTGGGATATTGGCCTTCTTATTTTCATCCCAGTACTCTAGCAGAAAGACACCTGAAGGGAGAAACATGATACTATAGTCCTTCCTTATTACAACAATTTTACAGTACGCTACGACCAGTGTAGCTGCTTTGTATGTGCAGAGCACTACAGTACCTTTACTCCATGACTCACAAAACTGAATACCCTATTGATAGTTGCTGGAATAAAGAATTAAATGGATCATTCGCCACATAATGAAATTTCTGTTATCATTTACTCACCCTCATGTTGTGATTTAATCCAAGTTTTGTGAAGGAAATAACTATGGTCTGTGTTTTTACTCCACGATATGTAGGTTCCACAACCTTTATATGTCAGTCCCTTTTTAATTCTAGATGCCATGTTACGACATATTTTATTTACTTATGATAGTACACTTTAATTGAAATTAAATGGAACCATTTTGGTCAGATCTCTGATCAGTTTAGTAGATATAAGCCCCTAAATAGTCTCTGACCTGATGTGTTTAACAAGAATAGGCCAAATGTATCACACATTTTGCCTCTAGAGTTTATCTTGATGTTTGGACCGCATACAAACAAAAGCACATACAAAAAGTAAACAATAAATGTCCTACACATATTAAAAGTATGATTATATTTTCAGATTGAATATTAAATCACCTGTTAGTCTAAGCAGCATATGAGGAAACGTGTTCCGGGACTATTTAGGATCAAATAACTGATTCATGTTGTGCAATAGAGCAAATATGTATAACATTGTATAACAGCACAATTCATCTTCACTGACCTGACACAAGTGTGTCCTCTGGAATCTCCTCAATGATACACTTTTCCTCCTGTTCCCCTAAATCAAAATACATTGCCGGAGCCAAAATGACACAACTGGCTAGCAGCAGGCCTGTCAGCCTCATATTCATTGCTGTAAAACAGTTCATTTTTAAGGTAAGAAAGCTACAAATAACAATAACTGGACACTAGTATAGCTTTATGTGCCCAGCAGGTTTAGTGTGAGAAATCTGCAGCTGCTGTTTGTACAATCATGTGTAAACAAGGTAAACAGAAAGTCATGATAAGACTAGGGAGAGACCTAAATATGTTGATAGAAATAGTCAATTTATTACATGCCTTGCTTCATTAAGATATATAGTTTAAAATATAGTAATTAAAGACCTGTATCGGCTTGTATACTTGGGCTCAAAAATTATTTTCAAGTCACACTTGAAAATGTTTTGCATTAGAAAACAAAATATCAAACCAGATGTCATTTATTAGAAAGACATCATAGTTTTTGATCCAAATATTTCACAAAAAACTTTTCAAAAGAGGATAAAGACAAAAAGTTTTGTGACACTTTTGTGTCCATAGTTTATGTCCATAATCATTGTGATGAGCAACATGGCAAAAATGGCTTTGAATAGTGAAATAAGAAAATATCTGGCATCATTTGATTTGATCCTTGATATTCAGACATTTTAAGTATGACTTGCATGTCCAAATAGATGGACAGATTATATTGCAGTTATTATCTTTTAGGAAAGTATAATAATTTTTCACACAAGCGTGACAAATTCAAAGGAATTCAGAAGGATTTATTTATCTGTATGTACAATTTTATATACAGTTTTGCAATTAATGTACAGATATGTTTTGAGGAGAACAGAGTATTTTTTTTACTGAAGATGTTTATCTCAACGATTGAGCTTGATAATGTCAATGGTGTTTTTTCCACCAGAGAGCACCAGACTCCATGAACAGTGCATGAGGACAGTGTGTGCAACTTACAGCAAACTCAGCCTATAAACTCCTGTTATTAGAGCAAACGTTGCTGTATTGAAAGTATAGAATTGGCAGTTCCTCATATTTCACTCTCAATTGTGATACACTTACTGAGAATTTGCTTTGGGTACTTCAGTCTTCTTTTTAACTTGGGATATGTTGCCTAGCCCATTCATTACCATGTTTAAGCTTGTTAACCCGCCCACGACATCATAATTTAAAAAAACAAAGTCATTCAATTTATAATGTCTCGTTTTAAAGCTGTTAACCAGTAGATTGTTCCCTGTGGATGAGGTATGGATGGTATTATATTCACACACAGTTGTCAGGGATACAGAGCTTCTTTTCCTCTAGGGGTGGGCAGGCAGCCCCATTGTTTGCCGGATGCATGTGAATATAGCGGGTTCTGTGTTTTACCCCTCTCTCACCACACTGACCCTTACAAAGACCCCAAGGTGACCAGACAGAAACCTCACAGTCCAGAGGGGTATCTGTAGAAAAATAGATGTTGATTAGTACTAATAACTTACCGGGAACAAATAATTTGTTAAAGAAATAGTTCATTTTTGAAAATTACAGTTCGATAAATTAAAATCATCATAAAATCACCCTTGAAACTTTCATGTTTTGGTGCACTATTTCTTGAATAGGGCTAATAAGGCTAAGCAACTCAATCTCCAGATTAAAAATAACTAGTTTATGTTTTTTGACAAATTGGTTTGAATTTGTACTATTTGAGTCGTGTGAAAATGGAAAAAAAAAATGCAGAAAAATACAAGCATGAAGCATGATCCAACCAGATTGTATGAAAGCGTATGTATGAATGAGAATAGTAATAATTAATATGAGTTTGCCACCAATTTGCCAAAACGTTAATTACAATTGCAATGAAAATGTTTTCGGCTAACACTATGATAAAACAAAAAAATACTATGATGTAAAATATAGATTGCATTTATATTTTTTGTGAAGTGTAAATAAATGGACAGTTACCTAAACTGAATCAATTTTTTTTATGTTTTATGCTAAATCAAAGTTTAGAGCTACTTGGGCTGAATTTAAAGTAAACTCAGACAATAAATGTAAATCCTTCAAATTTTGCAAAAATAATTGCTTCTCCTGATTCACTGATGCTTTCCAGAAATCCTGATCTTGTAAAAGGCTGATATGCATCACAGACTTCTGTGCAAGTAGGAAAACAGAAGGATGGAATCAAAGCACACATTTCACTTCAATGACAAACACTTCCTGAGTGCTGAGTGGCAGAAAACTTTTAAACGGGTTGGCCTCCATTATAGTGTTTGCAGTTTGTTGTGTTGGTTACCATGGGAGTTGATAAACCTTTCTACAGCCCGCAATTTAATCACCACAAGTTCTCTCTATGGATTTGTAGTGTTTCCCTCGAAAACAGAATTTAAGATTCAAATGCAAGTATGTCAACTCTGTCTTTTTGCATGATAAAGTTCTGTATGAGGACAACATTCACATCACAATTCATTTTACAAACAATTTCTAATGCTTACTTATGAGAGACCTATCAATTTCATTGTCGCTTGGAATCTGATTGGACTGGGTCGGCTGAATGGGTAAGCTGAAGATCTGGTTGTTCTTGATCTTTGTTAGGGAGACTTTGGCTATTGGGGGGAGATGCTTCAGTCGGGGATAGTAGAAGGAGTTTGCAGGGTGACTTGGGAATGATGCGGTTATCTGTTGAGAGAAGACATACAGTATCTGTAACAAGATTTGTAACGAGACCTCCATCCTTGCTGAAAAAAGGTGGTCAGGTGGTCTACCAAGTGGTCCGGTTTGTTGGTTTTAGAAGGGGTTTTGACCACTGACAAACTGAACCAGCATAAACCAGCAAACCACCTTGAACTGTTTTTTTTTTTTTTCCAGCAGGGACTGGTTCCCAAAGTGGTCTAACTGTGCTGAAAAAATACATCTTAAACTTGCATAAGATTGTTTCCAGGTCTCCTCTGGCCTCCAAGTCTGGTCAGGTTGGTCTTAGAAGGATTTTGAAAACTTTTCAGTTTGTGAGGCTGGGAAATAACCAGCTAAACACCAGCTTGGCCAGGCTGGGAAAGCATCTTAAACCAAAAAAGACCAGTAAACCAGCTCATTGTGGTCTAAGAAGCATTGTTTCATGGAAAATATTATAAATATATATGACTTGTAGGGTTGTCCGCTTTTAGACATTACCTGAGTGATCTTGTCTTGAGGAATGGTCTCAAAGTTTGGTGAGGAGAAGGTGAAACCACTGTCTGTGCCGGCATCATAGGGGTAGAGATCTAGGCTTATGTTTTCTATCCAGTTATCACCCTCGCACAAGTTTAGACTGTCTATTCCAACAAACCAGTCAGGACTTGGCACAATGCGGACAATGAAGGACAGCTGCAAAACAAGAAGATCATTAGTGTTCGGTTGCGCTGTGGTTTTAGCTTGCTCATTAGCTAGTATAAGCTGCTGGCTCGTTTTCATTTGGAAAGTTTTATTATTTACAATTCTCTCTATAATATTTTATATGGAATGCCTGGGAGGCCAGTGAAGTATGTGCATGTAAAGAGTGAGTTCCTAAAGAATGCTTTGGACACAGTATGCAAGTGTCCACATCTTCTGACTGAAAACATCTGTGGTTTTTACTCAAAAACAACTGAAAAAAAATTAAATAAAAACAGCTTAAACCAGCCTATGGTCTTTGCTGGTCTTACTGTAGATGGTCAACGATAGACTAGTCTGTATCCCAGCCAAATCATAGTTTAGCTGGTTTATCTGGTCAGCCTGGTGGTGTTTCAGCCCGACCAGGTAACCGAAAACCGTTCTAATTGAATTTGATATTAACTTTAGTGTCATACAGTTGCATAAAATGCATAAAAAATACATCATACGTAGGGCCATGTTTTGGTGCTGAAGAAACGCTCAGGCTTGTCCTTGCTTTGACCTACTGCAGTGCACAGTGTACTTACTAAAGAGTGTCTTGCATAGACCTCAAATTCTGTGATTGCCTGGCCGGTTCCTCCAACCACAGCTGGTGCTGAGAAGAGGCCATAGACGCTCTGGATCCATTCCCCAGCTGCCTCCACTTCCTTTATCAGTGTCCAAGCCTCTCCTCTCTCAGAAAACTCTCTCACCCCATTACTGGCGTACTCGTTCCTTTGCCAGATGTGATAATCTGAGCTGTGAGTTACTCCTAAAATGAAAATTATAGTTTTCAATGTGTACTTCTACTTTAGTGCATAACAAGCTACTCAAGCACTGCCATCATTGTCTTGCTCAAACCCATAGGTGTGAATTATACAGTGGCTTGTGAGGGGAGTTTTTTTTTAAGAAAGGGCTTTTTATGGGAAAGTTTTTAGGCATAATCTTATCTTGAGCAACCCAGATTTTGGCATCCCCATAACTATTTCAATGTACTTTTGTAATACTGTACAAAAAATATGTAAGAAAGTAATAGATAATGATCAATGATCAATCAATGTTTCTATGGCATTACTTTAAAACCCCTCTTTTTGAATCTTTATGTTGAATACTTATATCACCTAACCTTTGTTTTTACTTCCTTCGGAGGGGTTCATCTGGGTCAAACCCCCTCAGCAGGAACAGTGTGAAAGGTTTGGGTGAACAGACCCAAAAAGTGGTGTAGCAAATGTTACAAATGTTTAAAAGAATACCCTGTTCTTACTTATAAGATCGGCCCACTCACCAATGATGGGGGACCACTGAGCAGGCGGCCTGTACAGAGGGTAGTGTTTGGGGAAGGCAGTCTGAGTCCACTGGCCGGTAAATGTCAGTCTGTACTTGGCTGTGGACGGCGCCATGCATACGCGGTCCACGTCGACCGGCATTGCAGGGACTCCACTCAGCAGGGCCAGAGTCACGGTAAGCCACTGCAGCCAGCAGTTCACTTTCAAAGATGTCATCTTTTCCATGCTGGTTCTGTGTGGGAACAATAAACTGTTTTACCAGGCATGTGGATGCATGCCATAACCAGGTTTGAAAGCTTTGGATCACTCCTTCCTTACTAAACTGACAATAGTAAAACAGGGGAATTAAAGACTTTACATAAGCTCCTGGGTGAGTGATTTGGTATAACTGTGTCATACATTGACTAAGAAGGAAAGAATGTAGGTCAGGATAACCAAATTCACTCTCTGTGTTTCCA